TCTTTGTAACTCCTTCCTACACCACTGATATACAAATTAAATAAAAGAAAAATCGAGAAGATAGCGAAAGGCTTAGAGCGCTATTTATCGAAAGTTAAAATATCTTCACAAAACATACAAAGAACGGGTGACGCAGTGATGATTTGTTAAACTTTAGAATGAACAAGTATCTTTAAAAACATTATTAACTAAAGATAGAAAATGAGCATTTTGAATATTCAAGTTTCAAGATTACAATATGGTGTTGATGACGTAAGCATTACACACATCATTCGTTTATAAATAGCACTTTCATCGTTTGTTTAAGCCTACTCTAAACCAGAGATGCGTATTATATATAATTATAAGTTTTTATAAGATGTTTTCAGACGTAATTTTATCATTTTTACACTTTTTAGAAATTTGTAAAATAGAAATATAATATTTTAATTATGGTTTATCTACTTTATATAAGAAATGATACCTTTTTATAACACATAACTAAGCGGTAAGCTTGAGGGCATAAATTCCTAAAATTCGGGATTTAATTTTTTTTAGTGAACACAGCGTAGAAAGTCCGCTTCAAATAAAACAAAAATCGTTATAGAAAAGTCCCCTAGTGGATCAGCGGTAAGTTTACGTTCGTCAAACGCTAAAATCCTGGGATTGATTCCTCGTGGTGAACAAAGCGCAGATAGCTTATTGTGTAGCTTCGAGCAAAAGCATTCAAAAATAGTTTTATTGAAAAGAAAGAGGGCGTCAGAAGATATTTCAGTGTACTTATACTTTCTGTAGCTCCATGCGCTTGTTTCAGGAAATTCATATTTCAGAAGATATTTCAGTGTACTTATACTTTCTGTAGCTCCATGCGCTTGTTTCAGGAAATTCATATTTCAGAAGATATTTCAGTGTACTTATACTTTCTGTAGCTCCATGCGCTTGGTCCAGGAAATTCATATTTCAGAATATATTTCTGATCTACTTGGACTTTCTAATTATTGAAATGGAACTTCCAATCATGTGCCGAATAAACTGCCTGAAAAGTAAAGTGTGTTTGGGACACCAAATATAATTTGAACTGTGCTACTTAGAAATTATTTCATTGCTTAAAAAGTCGATATAGGGGATACTTTTGGACTCATGCCAAACAGTACTAAAGTTATAATTTTTGAAACAAGTTGAACAGTACCACCGTCTCAATTTCTTTGATGATTTTTGTTATAATCCGACAGCAAACTTATGTAAAAGATAACTGCTGTTGTTGTATGGGGTACAATACTCGTCATTCTATACATAATAGTCAATTTTTGATATCTGAATGTATATGATTATTGTTTTTTTGTTAATATCAAGTACGAGCTAATTAGCCTTACGGACTTCCATTTAATATTAGATGCTCACAAAAGCAGACCCCCAATAGTACAGCGATATGTCTGCGGAATTACAACGCTAGAAACCGGGTTTTGATATCCATTAGGGGGGGGGGGGAGAGCACAGATAGCCAATTGTGTAGCTTTGTGCTTAAACTACAAACAAACACAAAAGCAGTATATTAATCGACAGTTTCTACGATCACTCAAGTCTATGGATGCCTGGATGCAACCTGTTCATGGTGATATTTGGCTATGGTTGCCATGGTATAATAATTTCAAGATGATATCTAGCTGGGATGCCATGGTACAACCTGTTTATGGTGATATATAGCTACAAGTGCCATGGTGTAACCTGTTTTTGGTGATATCTACCTGTGGATGCCATGGGGCAACTGTTCATGGTGATATTTATCTGTGGATGCCATGGTGCAACCTATGAACGGGAATATCTAGTTATCGATGTCATTGTGTAAGTGTTTATGGTGATATCTAGCTACGGAGCTATGGTGCTGGCTGTTTATGGTGATATATAGCTATGGAGGATATGTTGAGGTTTGTTTATGGTGGTATTTAGCTACAAATGCCAGAGTACAACCTGTTCATGGTGATATTTAGCTGTGGATGCCATGGTGCAACCTATGAATGGTGATATCTAGCTATGAATGCCATGGTGCTGTCTGTTTATTGTGACATCTAGCTGTGCATGCCCTGATGCAACCTTTGCATAATGCTATCTAGCTATACCACAGCTAAATATCACCATGAACAGGTTGTACTATGGCATCAATGCCATGGTGCAACCTATGAATGGTGATATCTAGCTATGAATGCCATGGTGCTGTCTGTTTATTGTGACATCTAGCTGTGCATGCCCTGATGCAACCTTTGCATAATGCTATCTAGCTATAGATGCCATAGTACAACCTGTTCATGGTGATATTTAGCTGTGGATGCCATGGTGCAACCTATGAATGGTGATATCTAGCTATGAATGCCATGGTGCTGTCTGTTTATTGTGACATCTAGCTGTGCATGCCCTGATGCAACCTTTGCATAATGCTATCTAGCTATAGATGCCATAGTACAACCTGTTCATGGTGATATTTAGCTGTGGATGCCATGGTGCAACCTATGAATGGTGATATCTAGCTATGAATGCCATGGTGCTGTCTGTTTATT